TATTTTTGTATGTTGATTTTATATCCTGCCACTTTGCTGAATTGGTCAACTATGTCCATAGTTGTCTTGCTGAGTCTTTCCAGTTTTCTAAGTATAATACCCTGTCATCTGTAATATAGAGGTAATTTTACCTCCTCTTTGCCAGTTTGGATACTTCTTATTTCCTTCTCTTGTCTTATTACTATCACTAAGATTTTTAATGCAATATTGAATAGAGGAGGTGATAGTGGGCATCTTTGCCTAGTTCCTGTTTTCAATGGGAATGCCTTTAACGTCTTTCCATTGAGAACAATGTTGGCTCTTGTGTTTGCGTATATATTTTTTACTATGTTGAGGAAATTCCCTTCTATTCCTATTTTGTTGAGTGTTTTAATCGGAAAAGGATGTTGGATTTTGTCAAAGACCTTCTCTGCATCAATTGATCAGATCATGTGGTTCTTGTCCACTGATTGTTTTTCTTATGTTGAACCATCCTTGCATACCTGTTGTGAATCCCACTTGGTCATGGTGTATTTTTTTTTTAATGTATAATTGGATCCTTCCTCTGTGCGGCCTGCCAGAACGAATGTCTCATGGTTTTTTCTTCTTCAATTACCTGGGGAAGATGGGAGGGGTCTCTAAGCTGCCCAGCCTTCAGCTTGTCAGATGCCTACCCCTTCCTCTGTGTGGCCTGCTGGAGCAAATGTCTCGCGGTTTACCATGGACTGCTAGGAAAACAAACAGATTTGTCCTGGAAAGGGTTAAACCGGGTGGCTCCTTGGAGGCAAGGATTCTGAGGCTCCGTCTAACATACTTTGGACATGTTGTGAGGAGAGACCGGTCCTTGGAGAGGGACATCATGCTTGGGAGGGTGGAGGGACAGCATAGGAGAGGAAGGCCCTCTATGAGGTGGATTGATTCAGTGACTGGGATAATTGGGATGGGAGTGTCAGAGATGGTGCGATTGGCACAGGACAGAGCGGAGTTTAGGGCTGTTGTACATAGGGTCGCTATGAGTCACAGGTGACTCAACGGCACATAACAACAACAACAACATAATTGGATCCTATTGGCCAGGATTTTATTCAGGATTTTTACAACTATGTTAATGAGAGATATTGGCCTATAGTTTTCTATTTTGGTGGTGTCTTTACCTGGCTTTGGTAACAAGGATATGTTTGTGTTACAGAATGAGTGTTGGAGAATTCCATCATTTTCTATATTCTGAAATAGTTAATGTCAAATTTGTGACAGTTCTCTCAATGTTTGATAAAATTCACTTGTAAAACCATCTGGTCCAGGGCTTTTTTTGGTTGGAAGTTGTTTTATTACCTTTTCAATTTCTTCTTTTGTAATGGGTTTGTTCAGGTGTTCAGTTTTGGTTTGTGTCAGTTTAGGTAATTTGTGACTTTCTACATGATTGTCCATGTCTTCTATGTTTTCATATTTGTTTGAGTATAGTTTTTCATAATATTTTATTGTTACCCTTTTTATTTATAATAGTTGGTTTAGTTGTGACATTGCCCAAGTTATCACTTTTTTTGATTATTTGTGTCTTTTCCTTCTTTCCTTTTGTTAGTTTTGCTAGTGGTTTGTTGATTTTATTGACCTTTTTGAAGAAACAACTCCTGGTTTTGTTGATGGTTTCAGTTGTTTTTCTGTTTTCTATCTCATTTATTTCTGCCTGAATTTTTATAGTTTCAGTCTTTTGGGAATGTTCAGGTTTTCTTGCTGTTCTTTTTCAGTTTGTTGGAGATGTTGGTTTAGAGAGTCAATGGTAATTTTTTTCCTGTCTTTTCATATGTTTGCTTATTGCTATAAATTAACTTCTAAGTCAACACTCTTGGTACCAGCATCCAGGAAATCAGGAGACGAATTGCGTTGGGAAATTCAGCTGACAGGGACTTCTCCAGAATACTGAAGAGCAGCGATGTCAGGCTGGAGACTAAGGTGCTCCTGATCCGGGCTACAGTCTTCTCAATTGAGTGCTATGCATTGGAGAGCTGGACAGTGACTAGGGATGATAGAAAGTGAATTGATGCCTTTGAGCTGTGGTGTTGGAGAAGAGTGTTGACTACACCATGGACTACTAGGAGAACAAACAGATTTTTCCTGGAGAGAGTGAAGCTGGGCTGCTCCGTGGAGTTAAGGATTCTGAAGCTTTGTCTGATATACTTTGAGCATGTTGCAAGGAGGGACCAGTCCTTGGAGAAGGGCATCATGTTTGGGGGAGTGGAGGGATGTCGCAGGAGAGGAAGATCCTCGATGAGATGGATCAATTCAGTGATTAGGTAGTGGGAATAGGTGTGTCAGAGACAATAAGATTGGCTCAGTTTAAAACAAGAGTTCAGAGTTCTTCTACATAGGGTCACTATGAGTCACAAGCGACTTGACGGCACATAACAACAACGGCAATAAGTACTGCTTTCGCTGTTTTCCAGAGGTTTTGTTGTGTTTCCATTGTCATTTGTTTAAAAAAACTTTAATTTTATTTTTTATTTCTTCTAGTACCCACTCATGTTCAAGCAAGGTGGTGTTCAGCTTCCAAATGTATAGTTTTTTCTTCTTTATCCTCTTGTTATTAATTTCTAATTTTGTAGCACTGTGGTCTGAGAAGATGCTTTGTTGTATTATTTCTATGGTTTTTTTTAATTTTATTGATACTTTCCTTGTGCCTTAAAATATGATCTATTCTGGAGAATGTTCCATGCACAATGGAGAAGAAGGCATACTGTGCTTTTTTTTTTTTTTAAGTGCAGTAGCCTGTAAGTATCTATGAGATCGAGTTGGTTTATTGTGTGGTTTAATTCTTAAGTGTCTTTGTTGAATTTCTTTCTGGAGAGTGATATATTGAAGTCTCCAATTACTATAGTGCTGTGGTCTATTTCTTTTTTTCTGCTTTGTTAATGTTTGTTTTATGTATTTTGCAGATCTTTCAATTGGTGCATAAATATTTATTATTGTTATGTCTTCTTGTTCTGTTTACCCTTTCATCATTATGTGGTGACCTTCTTTGTCCTCTGTGATGGTTTTTGCATTGAAATGTATTTTATCCAAGACTAATATAGCTTACTTCTGATTTTCTGGTTGGCATTTGCTTAGTATATTTTTTCCCTACTCTTTTATTTTTAGTCTTTCTTTATCTTCATTTTTCAGGTGTGTCTCTTGTAGACAGCATATTGATAGATTTTGGTTTTTTATCCAATCTGCTACTCTCTTTCCCTTCAGTGGTGCGTTTAAACCATTTACATCCAATGTGATTATTGAGAGGCAAGGTTTCTTTGATATAATTTTATGTTCTTTGTGTTATTCGTATTTATCTTTATGGTTTTTGCCATGAAATCAGAGTTTCATTTTACTCGCTTTTTTAGGTAACTTTTAGTTTTTCCCCAGCTAATTTTACTCTTCTTTGCTTTCAGTTTTGAAAAATGGCTCTATCTTGGTGTTCTTTTGGGGTTTATCCAGTTTTGGGTTCAGTTGCCTTCTTGAATACATAGTTTCTCCTTTTCTCTAATATTCAGGAAGTTTTCTTCTAACAAATCTTCAACACTTTCTTCTGTGCCCTCCCCCGCCCCCTTTTCTGGAATTCTAATCACACAGAAATTCCTCTTGATACTTCGTCCTTAGACTCTTATGCTTCATTCATTTCCATTTTTTCCTGATAGTTCCTCTTGCAGATTAATATTGAAAAATGTGACCTCTGTCTCATTAAGTCCGTGTTCCATTTCTTTGTTCTGCTTTTTTGGACACCAATCTTAAGTCCTGTGGCATTCAGGTGGGGCCCTCAGCAGAGTGTGTCACTTCCATTGACCATTGGAATGTTGCTCTTGAGGGGTGATACAATTATTACTCAGTCATCATAGCCCAAGAGTGTCTGCCCCTGTCCTCTGATCATTGTTTTGTTTCCCTAACTCAACAATGAGTACTCAATGGAGATACTCTGTCCTTCTTAACCTGAAGACTCTGCCATCTACAGTGCTGTGTAGAAAGTGTACAATTTACTAGAACATGTCAGAGATGGGAAGGATAGTTCAAGATAGGGCGAGATTCACATCTATTATTCATAGGGGTGCAGTGGGTCATAGGTTGCATAAGGTTGCTTGAGTTGTCGTTGACTTGATGGCACCTAACAACAACAACAACAACAGTATGTCAGCACCACAGGGTGGCAGAAGTGGTCAAGCTGTCAGTGTTGTTGCATGGCTCCATGACATATCCTCTATGTGTCAGAATTATGCTCCATATAAAGTTTTCAGTGGCACCTTATTTTGGGAAGTAATCGCTAGACCATTCTCCCTCCCTCTAAATAGATCAAGTACATTAGACTTGCACACCACAGATGTTTAATAAATATTGAATAAATGTTTGCAGTAATCTGGACACTGTTATTGAGGAAGCATAGGATTTGATTTGTGGAGTTTTGTTAGTTTTGTGGTGTTTAGAAGAGGGATCCATTCACATTTTGTTATAGATTGAATCTTAAATGAAGGATCAAAAAGATTACTCTTCAAGATTATGATGGAGAGGCTAAGTCCAAGGCACAGCATAATAGCTTGAGTTCACATGAAGTCCATGAGTGGTACAAACCATTATGTGTTAACTAGAGTTTACTAGAAGATTGGCTGTTTTTTTAAGTCCACCAAGAGAACAGCCTGGTGATTCCTTCTGAAGAATAAGCCTTTGACAGCTCGCTGGAGCGCAGAGCTGCCTTGACACTCATGAGGCTGTCATGAGTGCAGTTTCACTCAACAACACCTGGTTTGCCTCTTTTTTTAGTTTGGAGTCACATGGATTAGGATCCCATCTTTAATGTCCACACACAAGTGGTATGCGAGAGAATCTGAATAAAAATGAGATTAATTTTACTTTTCTCTCTTCTTTTTTTTTTCTGTTTTTATCCTGCAGATTCACCAAAACCACCACTTGCTCCCAAGCCAAAGACTACCAGCTCCTTCACACCATTGACTGTCCCCAAATTCCCCTCTTCACCCCGACCTGACAGTCTTCCCAGTCCAAACTCTATGCTCAGGGGTCCAAAGCCTCCCATTGCCCCCAAACCCAGGCTGGGTGCCCCCCATGAGTGGCGATCAAGTGTGTACATGAACAACAACTTAAACAAGTGCAGCAATGGGAGGCTGCTCTGTGGAGACAGGGATCTTTACAAAGGGCACAGGTCCAACCTGGAGTGCTCTGAGCCAGAGGCAGATGAGGACTACATCGTGGCCCCCTGTGTGCTGCCGAGAGAGGATGAGCCTGGGGATGGGGGTTGTGCAGAGAATGAAATGTTGACGCCTATGGACCATCCTGTGGAAGAGGAGCATGACGAGGAGGGAGGTGAGGCATGTGATGTGGAGTCATGTGATGTGGAGGAGACGGAAGCTGCAGAGGACATGGCTGCCCTGAGTGGAGGGAATGATGGAGGGATGGACCAGCCTCCTGATGATGCAGCTGAGGATGAGGACTGTGAGGAAGGAGGGGAACATACTGCCGCACAAAGGGAGGAAGTGGAGCAGGCAGAAGAACACAGTACATGTGACCCAGAGGACAGGGAACCTTGGGATGGAGAGGAGGCCTGCCCAAGAGACAGTGTCCTGACCCCCGTCCAACTAGAGGATCCAGCAGCCCCTGAGGAGACAGCCACATCCCTTGAAGTCCCCAAGGAAGTGGAAGAAGAGGACAGTGAGAATGGCTGTATCACAGCAGAACCAGGCACCCTAGATGAGCAAGTGGACTCCAGCAGTCCTGCTGAGGTGGACACTGAAGATGTCCTTAAGGACCCACCTTCGAATGCTGAGCCAGCGCAGGAGGAATTGGCCTCAGGTCTCCAAGAAGCAGACATGGCTGGAGAAAACCAGGATGTCTCTGAGGAGACATGTGGAGATGCCACAGAGTGTGATGTTCAGGCCGATGATGCTCATCCTGACCTAGATGAGAACACTGGCGAGGAGGAAGATGTGGCCGTTCAGGAGATACACACAGATCCTCAAATAAGTGAGGGCCCCATGGAGGACGATCCTGCAGAAGAGAGCTGCCAGATTATTCCTTTTGAGAATGATTCTGTTGACAACTTTGTGCCGTCCTTGACAGGAAGTCCTTATGAGTTCTTTCCAACAGAGAGCACATCTTTCTGTAGTGAAAGCTACCCACCTACTTCCAGGTCAGCAGAACGTTTAGAGTCAGAGGAAGACCCTGAGGCTAGGACTGTGTGCAGCCAGCAAGACCCCTCAGAGGGGGCTATCTGTAAAGAGCCCTCTGTTCCTGAGGTGGTGGTCCTGCCAGAGGATGATGCAGGCCAGGGTGCCATGGATGACTCGCTCACCAGCCCCTATGTGATGGGCATCAGCCTTGCATGCCAGGCTGGCTGGAGTGAGGCGCAGGCTGGACCTGATTCTCCAGAAGAAAGCTCTGATGTGGACGCCAGCCTGCTTCCCACTGACAGGAAGAACCTTGCTGCAAGAGCCCGGCCTCACTCTGGCAAGGTAGCTGGCTATGTCCCAGAAACGGTCCCCGAAGAAACCGGAGCAGAATCCAGCTCCACAGCCTCTGGGAGTGGAAGCACCATCGCAGAGGCCAGAAAAATGGGCTTATCACTTGAGGGAAAGCCTCCAGAAGCTTCTGGGAGGGCCTTGCCAGCCAAACCCAGGGCCTTCACTCTGTATCCGAGGTCATTCTCTGTGGAAGGCCGAGAGATTCCATTTTCCCTGTTCCATGAGCCAGAAGGAACTGGGTTAGATGAGCATCGAATCAAAGGGAAGGAGGACAACCTTTCTCTGCCTTGTGTGATTGGCTCTTCTGGAAGCTTCTCCCAAAGAAACCACCTCTCCTCCAGTGGCACATCCACCCCGTCATCCGTGGTGGACATCCCACCTCCTTTTGACCTGGCCTGCATCACCAAGAAGCCTGTTACTAAGAGCTCACCTTCACTTCTGGTGGAGAGTGACTCCCTGGATAAGTACCCCAAGAAGAAGAAGTCATCCTTTAAGCAGTTCCTGGCACTGACATTCAAGAAGAAGACAGAGAGTAAAGTGCATGTGGAGGTGAATGTGTCCTCCTCCCGGTCCTCCTCAGAGTCCAGCTACCACGGGCCTGCCCGACTCCTGGAGATGGACCGCAGGAGCCTTAGTAACTCACCGCAGCTCAAGTCTCGGACCGGGAAGCTCCGGGCTTCTGAGTCTCCCTCCTCCCTCATCTTCTATAGAGATGCCAAGAAGAGAGGCGTCCCCTTCAGCAGGACGGTGTCCAGAGTGGAGTCCTTCGAAGACCGCTCCCGGCCTCCCTTCCTGCCATTGCCACTGACCAAACCACGGTCCATCTCGTTCCCCAATGCAGACACGTCAGACTATGAGAACATTCCAGCTATGAATGCAGACTATGAGAATATCCAGATTCTGCCCCGGAGGCCTGCAAGGGCTGGGACTTTCACAAAGCTCTTTGAAGATCAGAGCAGAGCCCTGTCCACGGCGAATGAAAACGATGGCTATGTGGACATGAGCAGCTTCAATGCCTTTGAGAGCAAGCAGCCAAGTGTGGACCAGGACGCGGAAAGGTACTGTGCCGTTGTGTTTCCTTTCTTTTTCTTTGGGGGTGATTCTCTAGAGGCAGCAGAAGGGTAGGTGACAGGACAGACTTGGCTCTGTGCCTGGGCTGTGTTGCTTTCTAGCTGGGTGACATGGGATGAACGGCTCTATTGCTCTAGGCCTCAGTTAGTTCGTCTGCCGAAGTGTGTGCGCAGGTCAGCGTGGGTGATCACCATGGAATTGCTCTGTGGGTGTGGATATGGTCCAGTGTGGGAGTTTGTATCTCTGTTCCGTGTGGGATGTCTCCTGTCTCCTAGGTTGATGCTTTTGCCACTTGCCCCTGGGAAGGTCACCCGGGGAGGAGGCTCATGAAGTCTTGCCAAACTAAACCTCTTTTACCATCACGAGAATACTTTAAATTAAGATTGATGCCTTCTTATTGTGTAAATGTATGCTGAATTCAACAGGGAACTAGAAGTGACTATTTAAATGGTTTAAAGAGCTAAAGGCGTCCTGAGCTACATTTCTGAATTAAACCTTTAAGAACTACCCTCAAGCAGATTTTTTCCCCCCTTAAACTGATTATCTTTGGAAGTGGGAGCCAAACACTGCAGTTATTTATAACAGTGGGGCATTTTCTGACCCCCCTTCTCAAGACTGACTGAATGCACTTATTGATTATCCCAAGTAGATAATTGCCAGATCTTGTTGTTCCTTGTTTATGAGGTTGCAAACTAAGGACGATGTGGTTATATCTCAGCCTTTGATACTCTTTGGTGGTACTTGGTCTAAATGACTAAAAATCCAAAATTGTTTTGATTTTAAAATCATCTCATTCTTTCTTGTGATGTTCAATAATTCAAACGAGTCCTTCATAGCTGTTGTTTCTAGGTGTTTCTGCAGAATTTGCAGTAGTGAATAGTAAGTGTGCATTAGCATTAATGCTGTTGCTAGAATGGAGATGTAACGAAGTGTTTGTATGGTGCGTTCTCTGGAATAATTTACACAGTTTACCACCCTGGCTTTATCTTCTCCCTTCCCCAACTCTGGGTAAAGCTATTCATTATACTTGTCTAGAATCAAAGATTTGTTTGCCAAACAAAGGTAGCCACCAAATCTTAGAAAAGGTGAACATGTGGGAGCTTACTGAGAATTAGGGAAACAGACCCGACCAGGGCACTGTTTAAGTAGCTTCTGGTCTTTGAAAAGACCAGATACTAGCCAGGTGCATCACACCACCACTTTAAACAGAACAGATCTTGACACTATCACATCTCTGTGCTGATGGGACCTCAGAGGGCATATGGCAAGGCTCCCATCTCCAGCAGGTAGACTTATAATTTGTACTTAAATTCCTCAAGCCACAGATAATACTTCCTCTCCTGGAGCTGTGTCATCTGTTGCTAGGTACGTTGATTGTTCTAGTGTACCATCAAGTCAGAACTGACTCATAGCTGGCCCTCCAGCAGGTTTTCCAGGCAGTTAATTGCATGAGAGGGGATTGACCATCTTTTCCATGAAGCAGCTGATGAATTTGAACAGTATATCTTTGGGTTGCTCGCACAACTCCTTACCACTAGGTCACCAGAAGTACCTTGGTTAGTCAGAAGTTTTTCTTTCCTAGTGGGTAAGCCCTGTCTTCCCTCTAAGAATCCAGCCTCATTCCCAAGCCAGGAGAATAAGCTTGTTAACCTTTTGGTGTGACAGCCACTAAAGAAACTAAAATCCACTTCTAGAGAATAGTAGAATTTAAGAGCCAGAGGATCCTCAGATTTCATTCAGTCCTCGTAGAGAATAGGAAACTGAGGCATAAAAAGAACAGAGTTGTGCAATATTCGTCCTTTTGTGACAGATAATTTCACTCAGCATAGTGTTCTCCGGGGTCACCCTTATGGTATAATACTTTATTGTTGTTGTTATTATGAGCCATTGAGTCACTTGCGACTCATAGCAACCCTATGTACAACAACTTTGAACCCTGTTCTATCCTGAGCCAATCTTACTGTTCTACATACCTACCTCCATTACCTCGTTCACTAAGTCAATCCATCTCATCGAGGGTCTTCCTTTCTTGCACTGTCCCTCCACCCTCCCAAGCATAATGTTCCTCTCCAAGGACTGGTCCCTGCTTGCAACATGTCCAAAGCATGTCAGACAGAGTTTCAGAATCCTTGCCTCCAAGGAGCACTCTGGTTTAACCCTCTCTAGGATGAACCTGTTTGTTCTCCTAGCAGTCCATGGTATATTCAGTACTCTTCTCCAGCACCACAGCTCAAAGGCATCAATTTTCCTTCTATCATCTCTAGTCTTTGTCCAGTTTTCTGGCACATAGCAAGTAATTTCAAAAACTATGGCTTGGATCAGGGGTACCTTAGTCTCCAGACTGACATCATTGCTATTCAGTACTCTAGAGAAGTCGCTCATAGCAGACTTCCCCAGTGAAATTTGTCTTTTCATTTCCTGGCTGCTGGTACCAAGAGTGTTGATTGTGGTGCCAAGCAAACTAAAGCTGTTAACAATCTCAATCCTTTCGCTGTCTGTCATGATGCTGTCAGTTGGCCCAGTGCTGAGAATCTTTGTTTTCTTGATGTTGAGCTTCAATCCATAGTAAAGGTTACAGTCTTTGACCTTCTGCAGCAAACACTTAAGGTCTTCCTCAGTTTCAGCAAGGAAGGTTGTATCATCTGTATAACACAGGTTGTTGATGAGTCTTCCTCCAATTCTAATGCCACATTCTGATGCCCAGCCTCCAGACGATCTGTTCTGCATATAGATTGAGAAGGTATGGAGATGTTGTTGTTGTTGTTGTTATGTGCTGTTGAGTCGTCTGCGACTCATAGCAACCCTATGTACAACAGCCCTAAACCCTGCTCTGTCCTGTGCCAATCTCACTGTCTCTGACACTCCCATCCCGATTATCCCAGTCACTGAATCAGTCCACCTCACAGAGGGCCTTCCCCTCCTGTGATGTCCTTCTCCAAGGACCTGTCTCTCCTCACAACATGTC